GGTGATAAGACTAAGAGATTTAAAAGCAAATCCAATTGGGTACCGGAGAATAATGATCCTATGTTGGATTTGTTTTTAAGGAATTTAGAGTTTAAATTGTTTTCCATCAAGAGTTATTCCGATATCGTTGTTAAGAAAGCTGATAAAGGTTCTGCGGTAGTGGTTTGGGGTTTAGAGGAATATAAAAATGAAGCGTATAGGCAATTAAGCGATGAGAATTTTTATGAATGTATTCATTTTAATCCAGTGAATGATGTAGTTGCACTCATTGATGGAAAGTTAAATGTACAATGAAGGAAAGATAACCGAGGTAAATCGGAAGTATCTAAAAGGAGATTGTAAATTTAGGCAGATTTTATTTGTTGCCTAAGATACACAAGCGATTAGTGAATGTTCCGGGTAGGCTAGTGGTTTCGAACTGTGGGACGCCCACAGAGCGTATTTCTGAGTTTGTGGATTACCATATTAATCCGATTGTTAAATGTTTGCCTTCGGTTTTAGTAGATACTTCTGATTTTCTTAGAAGGTTAGAAAATATATGGTATATCCCTGAGACGGCAATTTTTGGTACCATAGATGTTGTGGGGCTTTATCCACATATACCACACGATGAAGGGTTGGACAGTATGAGGAAAATTTTAGAAGAATTTACTACTTTCAGTGAGTGGTTTGTGGATGGGGTTGATTTACTTGAGAAGGCTAAAACGATTTTAGAAAATAACTATTTTGAGTTTAATGAGGAGATATATTGGCAAAGGCAGGGTACAGCAATTGGAACAAAGTTTGCCCCGGCTTTTGCTAATATATTTATGTATGTCCTCGAAGCAAAAATGTTGCAGGAATGCGATTGGAAACCGTGGATATGGTGGAGATTTTTGGATGATATTTTTTTCATTTGGTTGCATGGTGAGCAAAGGTTGGGGGAATTTCTAAATTTTATTAATTCTTACCATTGGGATTGGTCTATGAGTCAAGTTTCATTTTTGGATGTTACCATTTCCAAAGATGTAGGAGGTAGTGTTTTTGCTGATGTGTATTCGAAACCTACGGATACTCACCAGTATTTAGAATCTAGTTCATGCCATCCGAGACATGTAAAACAGGCTATTCCGTATGGGCAGGCATTATATATAAGGTTAAAGCGTATTTGTAATTCGGAAAGTAAATTTGATCAACGGGTTGTGGAGTTGAAAAAACATCTGTGTGATAGAGGATTTAAAGAACGTCAAATAGTCTCTCAATTTGAGAGGGCTAAGAGTAATGACAGAAGAGCTTTGCTGTTTCACAGGAAAGAAAAAGATTTAAAGTCAAATATGTTGCCTTTGGTTTTGAATTTCCGCCCTGCATTATCGGGGGTTGGTGAGGTAGTTAATTCTTTGTGGCCTGTTTTGCAAGCTTTGGAGGGTATGAGGGAAATTTTGGGTGATATGAAGCCCTTGATTTCGTTTAGAAGGCCACGAAATTTGGCAGATAATCGTATGAGATCTAAGGTTGAAAAGGTGAATGTTGAGGGGAAGGGAATGAAAAAGTGCGACAAAGCCAGATGTCAGATCTGTAATTTTGTAGTGGAAACAAAAAAGTTTGAACACAATGGGAATACTTACTGGATAAATTATTCCTTCGATTGTGATTCGATAGGGGTGATTTATTTACTTAAGTGTGCTAGGTGTTTTAAGGTTTATGTTGGTAGTACTATAACAACTTTTAGGAATAGGTTTAACAACCATAAGAGTTCTCTTAGGAAATATGGGCAAGGGATCAGGCATATGGCTGGCGAGCACTTGTATGCGCACTTTTTGGCGAGGAACACGAGGGCTTGGCAGATCTCAGAGTTATTATTATTGACAAAATAAATATGAATGATCCTACGCAAAGAGAGGCATTTTGGGCATATAATTTGGACACGTTTGTACCTAAGGGATTAAATGTAAGGGATTTTGGGTAATTTATGTTAATGAATTTAATAGGATATAAAAGCATGTATGTATATGTATATGTATATGTATATGTATATGTATATATATATATATATATATATATATATATATATATATATATATATATATATATATATATATATATATATATATATATATATATATATAGATAGATATATATATAGATATATATATAGATATATATACAGCTAATTCAATAAAGGTTGCCCTTTGCAAACCTTAAACTCTAAAACCTTAAACCTTAAACTCTAAGCGCGCAAAGCGTAATGGGAGCACTATTTAAGCAGTTTAGAAAGCATACATGGAGCCCATTTCTTACAGACATGGTAAATAATTATGTGCCTGCGAAAACATTTCACTCACAAACAGCTGCAATATTCAACTACAAAGCTTGAAATCAGTACTCCCATTATGCTTTGCGCGCTTAGAGTTTAAGGTTTAAGGTTTAGAGTTTAAGGTTTGCAAAGGACAACCTTTTTGAATTAGCTGTATATATATATATATATATATATATATATATATATATATATATATATATATATATATATATATATATATATATATATATATATATATATATATATATATATATATAAACAGTTTTGTTTTTCGTTATAGATAAAAGAGTGCTCAATACTACAAATTATTTAGCAGAGCGAATTAATTTGTTATCTTAAAATGTTTCAATTTCTCGCTACTTCAGGTAGGCGCATACTCATCATCATACTCGGCAGGCGCATACTCATCTGGTGCAAAGCGTTGCAATCTCTGCATAGAAGAAAAACTCTGCATAATGGATGCAAACAAGCATTTAACACTGAACAAAAGACCCGAGATATTCGCAAAATGCCGACATCGCGAGAAATTTTGGGCGGGAAATTTTGAACGCGCGTGCGAATAATGACGGTGCATACACGTCAGCAAACTATAGATCACGCCATTATAACGAACTGAATTTAATCGCCTGAAGATTGCCACAAATAGTGGCATGAAACTTAAAGTAGCGAGAAATTGAAACATTTTAAGATAACAAATTATATCTATATATATATATATATATATATATATATATATATATATATATATATATATATATATATATATATATATATATATATATATATATATATATATATATAGTGTATATATTGTGAATAAATTATTATAATTTGTTCTATGAGTCCTTATCGTTACTTCAGAAAATAAAACGGTCCATTATACATTAACTCTGTAAAATATATACAGTGCAGTAATAAGTAAACAGCTCCCATAGTGACTTTTGGGGTGGGAGGTTTTATGCATGAGGTTTGGTCCAACTCATGGCTCCGAGTTGGAGCAAACCTCATATAGTTGGACTATGAAGTTATTTTGGTTTTCTCCTCAGTTTGCTCAACTCATAGTCGAGAAATCATTTACTAAATGAGATTCACTTCACTCATCATGGCAAGTCATAATTTAAATGGATTTCAGAACTATAGTAATATAATTACACAATAGTTTTGCAAAGATTGTGAAAGAGAGATAACGTAAATTTCATATAATCTGGATGTGAAAAGGACACTGTTTTTCAGCTTCACAAACCGTGAATACTTTATATTTTAAAATATACAGTGTTTCACTGACATCATCCTTACATCCTTACTAGTATATGCTCACGTTTAACGCCAGACTATTCATGCAGCTTATCAATGAATAGGCCGGGGAGTTAGCGACCGGTCATTATTTATGGAAGGGGGGAGGGAAAAAACAAGGGGGGCATATGTATAAATAAATGACTAGAAGGCGAGGGGGGCTATTAAAATTTTTCAAGAAAATGAGGGGGGGGTGCAATTAAATTTGAAGGAATTTGCTTAATAAGCCTGGTATCCATTTGGTCGTAAATGTTGTGGCTAAATCATGGTCACTGATGTGAAATTGTCTGGATTTATCTTGTCTCTGTCTGCTGTATGCAAATCAGTCTTTACTGATTGTAGAGATAAATTGACAATGTATTATTACATCAGCTATCTTGATGTGGTTAAATACATTTAAGCAAGTTCAATTTAACGGTGGATGTATTATGCAGGCTACTGGCCACATCCGCTGAAGGGAGTCTGTGACGTCATATCGATCTGGGTATTCATAGTGCTCCGATACCTTTTCCCCACCCACCCACCCATGTTTATTCTAGAGGATTTTATCTGGTAGTATGTCATTTTATTTTATATAATTTTTAATCTCACATAAAATAGGATGTATAGACCACTATACATTGTATTTCGCTTCCACTGACTTGTCAGTGTGACTGGTACCGGAGGTATGCCTTGGCAGCATTGTCATGGCTATCTCCCTTTGCTGCTAACATTACTGATTGTTACTCTCATTGTTGCTGCTCAGCTGCTATGGCAATACTTCATGCCACCAAGTCTAGTTGCAATCTTCGACCACAAAGGGCGTGCCTGCCTCCAAACACTAATACTCTACCGTTAAACATGGTTACAATCGCCCAGACCAAATGAAAACCTGATTTTAGTGTTATATATAAAATACTCCTCTTTTAATTACAATTTTCTTGTCAGTTCCTATCTTGTCAGTTCCATATTCTTATTTAATAATTAACACTATAACGCCTGGCTATCCCCATTTGATGAGTAAAAGTGAAAATGGGGGGGGGGGATCAAAGAAAAATATTCTAATATGTAGGGGGTCATAATTAAATTTCTGCTCTTTTAAGGGGGCTTTCAATTTTAAAAATTCAGAAAAGAAAAAATTCCCCTCCCCCCTTCCATAAATAATGACCGGTCCCAGTTATCATGCAGAAGGGAAAAGAAAGAATCTATCTCAGCTGGAGCACTTGTCATTGTTTTGTTCATGCAGTGACACGTTTAGTGCATACGTATTATATGCGTTCTGATACATAGTGAACTATAGCTTTTACGCTTTTGAAGTTTTGGACATTCACTGCTAACAAGGTACGGTATAATTACCTTTCATTGTGTATATATTCACACGTGTAAATGTAGCGATATAACAAGCAGATCTTTTGTCACAACCTTATTATCTCCTTGAACTAATAAACAGACTGTGAAACATAAATTCTCCTTTGGCTTTGGTCTTGCAGTAATATCGTGGCAGAAATTAGATCAACCTTTCAGTCATATTTTCATTCAAATACATGTTCATAGGCTTCATATAACCAAATGGTATACCAAGAAAACCGTAACGACTAACGGTTTTATTAAAGTATTACAGTAACGAAGTGTGTGCTAGCTGTCTGCATGTGCCTGTGGAATTGAGATATATAGATAAACATCATTTTGTCACCAAGAGCGTTCCTTCTGAATCTAAACTGTGGACATGAGTAAAATATATGTCTTGTTATATACTTTTCTAGCAGTAATGATTGCTATATAATTTTGTTCTGTTTACACCGCAACCGAGTAACCGACGTGAAGAATAGTTTCGACAAACGACATGCAGAAGTGATTAACAAATAACGATTTAAGACTGCATGATTGACCACAAAACATATGTGGGATTGACTAACTCTACAGGCACAGTAGACGAAGTTCGATATATAAAAGTTCTTTCTAGGTTTGCATGGCGATATGATACCAGAAGGTGCACTTAGCCAAAATTATGTCCATGATTTTTGTAATAATGTATAATAATTTATTTCACCACTATAGCCCGTATAGGCATTTCAGTGTTATATAATTATATCAAAATACTTCACATTTACTATACTTTACAGAACATAGTGGTAAGGAAGCTTAAAAAGAAACCTATGCGCAGGCGCGAGCCAGCAAGTGCAATCGCGACGACATCAAACGCGAGAATACGCCATCACTAAGTAATAAAGAGTCGCCATTTTAACTTTTTTTTAAATGCCACAGGTCCAAATAATGGGTCATCGCAACAGGAAGACACGACTTAAAAAAACAAAAACGTAAAATATTTAGACAGTAATTGCAGAATATGCAGCGTACGCTTTTAGCATGTTTTGTGAATTTCAAGAAAAACCGTTGATTTGAGGAATTGACGCTGACGAACGCTGACGTGATGTTCGCAGCGTGTCACACGTCATCTAGCGTGCGCAATTCGTGATCCGCAAGGCGAATTTTAAAAATTTAAAAATCGCGGATATGAAAATGTTATGCTTATGGAAAGGTGTACATGCATGCAGTGAGGCTTCTGGTATATTTTCTATTCTGTGTTATTAGCACTGATGAAGATCCGGGCTTTCGGATCGAAAGCTTTGCAGTAATAAATTTACGTGGTGTTTCCACAAACAAAAGTATTATAACTCTATAAAGCTAGTCTGAACTGAAATTACAAATGAGGAGGAAAGTTGGTCCAAATATTAAAACCCGAATTGTCTTGACAGAATTACCAACATGCATTTTGCCTGTAAATCTTATTGTATAAGACTGAAGTATTTAAAGCATGCCAAACTTGCTCCCCTGATAAGAAAATTGCAAGCTAAATTGTCAATTTCCCACCCGTACCGGCCGGTTTTATCCGCATGCCGTGGTAGTAATTGTAAAACATTTTATTGTTTAAAAGTGATCTACAGTCCGTATGTAAACAAAGCCTTTGTTTACATTTTTGCGTCCAAAATATTGAGCTTTATTCAACAACTATTTATATTTTCAAGCTTCTTATAGAGTATAATAAATGATCAAGAAACAACAATCAGGCTTTGCAAGAACCCAAAACATAGTTAAACTGTTTGTATCATAAAAAGTGGGCTCCTTTGTGCACATGCGCAGATCGGACTGTAGATCACCTTTAAAAATACAGCCAGTAAATGTTCATCATATAAAATGCAAAGTATAAATGATAGTGCATGTAAATGTAAAAAAAATTGCATGCATGATAAAAAACTGAAGAACACTGATGATCATGAACATTAAGACAAAATGATGCCATTTTTACGCCCAAGCAGGTAAATGCAATGATCTATTTCATTTGATGTTTAACATGCGTGACATTTTTAACTAAAGGAAATCATAATGTCAAGAAATTTACGAAAGGTGGAGAGTGAACTAAATAAAGGAAAAGCGCCGACTTCTGTGTTTGGTGTAGCGACTAAAGATCGTTATGATGCGTCTCACCAGGAAATGCCCAAAGAGTATCAACCAACCAACACGACGCCAATCCGTCCAGCGAAAGAGGGAGACACGCCTTCCGTTGATTTCAAGATTCAAGCTTTGCAAGAAGGGCAGAAATAAGAAACTTCTAGTTTTCAGTCATAAAATAAATGATTACTTTTTTTGTAAAATTAAAGCAAATTGTATAACTTCGTTTTAAAGCATGATATAGCCTATAGTAACCGTGCATGCCTGCATACCGATTTGAAAACAGATACTTTGAACATTGCGTAGCTAAGACTAAATGGATTAAAAGAAGTGAGATTAATGTTCTCGATGCTATATAGTGTATAATTTTGGGCTTCATACTGCAGCAATTCTAGTCTGCAAATCTGCAAATTATTGAACTAATATTCCCATGAGTGGTCTCGTTTTCATGTGGTGAGATTTAGGCGGGTCTGGGAGTGTTCTCCCTCTGAAAATGTTTGTATGTTTCTACCCCTAGGACTGCAATTCGTTCGTTTTCTGAAACATATTTTTGGATATACAGCGTTACATTATATGCTGTAGATAGACTGAATATTCCTTCAGTTAAGTACTTGCATGATATGTTTATGTAAATACCAAACTCGATCACTCACGGGTAGGAAGCTTGATAAACTTAGGGCGCCCGACTCCCACGAGGCGCCATCATGGTTCGCGCCGAGCGGGAGAATTTTGAGTCACTAACTTGTTTAGCCGAGCCTTCCAACAACTCAAATCTATAGGGTCTGGGATATGTAATCCACTGGAAAATGTTTAAAATCTAAGGTATTTACAACACAATGTTTAGCATTTTCAAACTAAAAGACATTAAATTTAAAGATAAAAGACAGGACATAAGATTCACAAAGTAAATTTCAGTTACTATAAAGTCAAACTTCCCTTCTAAATTCCATGTTGTTTTGCTTATATTTTAGTGTGGGGGGAGAATGGTTGAGTGGGGGCACAATGGGGCCTGGGGGGGGGGCACCAAGGAGGCTGGTGCATCATGTTGGCTTTGGGGCACCATGGGGACTGAGGGGCACCATGGGGGCTGGAGGAGCACCATGGGGGCTGGAGGAGCACCATGGGGGCTGGAGGAGCACCATGGGGGGGGGGGAGCATTGCCCCAAGTTATATAGTTTAAAAAGGCCCTGGCTGTCAAGTGGTGATTTATTGTGATTTTTCAGTTTTGTAGTCTTCGGGTAATCAAATTAAAATATATTAATAAGTGTGACTTGCACAAACAGCCTGCAGACAGTGGCGCCGCTAGCTCGATAATTGGGGGGGGGGGGCAAATATTCATACCTTCGTGTTCTGCATTATTAATTTCTTTTGAAATCGATTGTTTTTATGGTCTGTGAACACGAATATATGAATATTCACCCCCCCCCCCCAATTATCGAGCTGGCGGCGCCACTGCCTGCATGCAGAGATGGCCTGCATGTATAAAGTCATTGAAGCCATTGTTTCCTGAATACAAAAAGAAACAAATTCCGAAAAATCAAAGGTCATCTTGAAATTCAAGATATGAATTAAAACAAGACGAATGTATGAGACCGTAAATTTTCGACTTTATTTCAAAGTCATGCATCATCAGACAGAATAAAAAAAGTGCTTCCATGTTAAAGCAAGTGACGTTTTTGCCAACATGCAGACTTCATGCGTACAAAATCGGGGCTTGGCGTTAAAAATGATGGAGACAGACAGATTCTTGCTTGAAATCATAAACGTGAAACTGCATGCAGAATAGATATCGTTTATAATTCTACGTACCTGTCATGCAAATATTGCTTTCATCTGTAATTGATTATACATGCTTCTGTTCATGCCATGTGTATCTATAAGTCGATTGATTAATATCGGCTTTGAATTTCAACAACAAACATCAATCCCCCCGCCCCCTATTCAATAGTTGTCCCATTTCTCGTCAGATTTGATGTGTTTTGGTGTAAGCAACATTGATTGGGGGGGGGAGGGCGAGGGAGCGTTTTTGTGTGTAACAAACTGTAATGATCCACTTATAATTTAAAACTACATGTGTCCCAACAACTTCTGAAAGTGATTGTAGCTAGAAGTCATTACGTCAATTGAAAATAATAATAATAAGTTCGATCAATATATATTATATCTCTATATATTTATCAACATTATAAGTGTGTACTGTAATGTGATTCAATTAATATTAACTATTACTAATGACGGGGCCACGTGTATATAAACTAATGTATTGATATTAAAGTCTCTTTCAAACCTTACTACATGGTGGCAGCGGTGGGATACTCGAGTGACCAAAAGAAATTAAATAAACTTATTATAAACTAATAAGCACAAACGATATAAAGACAACAAAACAAAAACATAGTATACGTACGTGTGAAATAGAGTACAAGAAACCTATTTCAGCATAAGTTAAATATGGCAGAACCAAACGAGGTAAATACCGCGAGAAGTTTCACAACATATCAAGTGACACCTCCGTCGAAATTTAGCTTTAAATCCTCGGAGTGGACCCGATGGATTCGTCGCTTTGAGCGATTCAGAATTGCGACAGAACTCGACAAGAAAGAGGAAGCCAAACAAGTCAACGCGCTGATATATACTATGGGCGACGAGGCAGATGACATAATAACATCGTTTGGTCTCAGCGAACAAGAAATGAAAAGCTACGAAACAGTTCGAGACAAGTTTGAAAATCACTTCATCGCCAAACGAAACGTTATTTTCGAAAGAGCAAAGTTCAACGTTCGAATTCAAGACGAAAACGAACCTGTCGAAAGTTTTATTACCGACCTGCATTGTCTTGCAAAGTATTGCGAATTTGGCGTATTAAAGGATCAGCTAATAAGAGATCGCATCGTCGTCGGACTGAGAAATAAAAAGTTGTCTGAGAAATTACAATTAGATCCAGAGCTTACTTTAGCAAAAGCCATGGCTCAAGCCAGACAAAGCGAGGAAATCAAGAAACAACAAAACATTATTCATGGACAAAAATCGACCGGAAGTAGCGAGCATAATATTGACAACATTTCTAAGAATAGAAAACAACCCTCGCGGGATTCGGGCGAAAAAAAATTTTAACGACAGAAAATACGGCAAAATGGACGGCAAACCCAAATGTACGCGGTGTCTCGGACC